GAACTTCTTTTCCTGCCTGAACACCACATAGTGTTCTCTTCATTGCTACCTAATGAAACTTACCTATTTAACATAACTTACTGGTGTGTGTTGAGGGTGGGTGACAAAGTACTCGGGTAAGAAGCAGACTGCTTAAGATCTCTGAATAGAGTTTTCTCTTCTGGAAATGGCAGGGGCAATGATCTGCATATTCCTACCTATAACAGGTTGCAACTCAAGCTAAGTGGAAAAAAAAACAACACTTTCACAGTAGCAATGTAGTTCTTAAACGTAAAATATCTGCAAATAGTTACATAACTCTGTGCTATATATACATCATCTAAAGGATTCATTTAGTATTTCTATAGCCCGATAGGATAGCACTGTTACTCTCTTGAGGGTACCCTGGGAAGCTTCCTCCTCAAACTGTCTTAAAAACACATACTTGTCAAAATCAGTGCATGTTTTGTAAATTAAGAGCAAATTTTCACCTGTCCTCTTTTGAATAATAATAATTATTATACAAGTGTGGCTTCTGAATTAGCAATGATGTTGTGGCTAGTGAATGGTCCAGATGCCCAGTATTTAACAAGCCTGGGCAAATGGTCCATCCTCCAGCAAAATGGAGAGCAATTTCCTCCCTCCCTCTTCCTCCCTCCCCCCCTCCCTCAAAGATGCTCTGCTCTACCAGGTGGATCAAGGGTGACCACTGCCTCCATGCAGGTGTCCAGTTTGGTGGGACACAGACAGCCCCTCTGTTGGCTTCCATCCTGTCTGGTAACCTTAGAAGCTATGGATGCTGGTGTTGCCTAGCTTGTCTACGAAAAGCTACAATCCCATTTTTAGAACATCAAGTTATGAATTTCAAGGGATATTAGAAAGTTTCAGTTAGAGAAAACTGCAGTGCATGGGGGGGTCCAAACAATTCAAATGTGTCCAAAGCAGGGTGCTGGGAGAATAGGGTAGCCACATGCACTGCTATGCAAGAAGGAAAACTTATAGCCCGATCTATCTCTCAGGCTTCTGCTGTCTTCCAAACAGACATAAAAACACACTACATAAGATGACACCAATCTGTCTGCCCAAACCTAGCATTTAATACTTCACCATATTTGTTCAGATCTCTATTCTTCCTAAAGAAAGGATATAGCACTAGCTCCAGATCCTCTACCTCACTCCCTCCTCTCTCTTTCCCTCCCTTTCTCCCTGACTCTCTCTGACTCTCTTTTGCTCTCAAGTACCACTGAGACATTAATATCAACCTGTATCAGTCTACTACAGCTACTTTAACAATGAACCCACACTAGAAGGCGTAAACCACAGAAGTTGACAGACTTAAAAACCCTGGAAGCTGAAAGCTTCCAATATCAAGAGGTTGGTAGAATTGGTTCTCCCTGGAAGCTCTGAGGGAGAATGGGTACCGTAAACCACAGAAGTTGACAGACTCAAAAATCCTGGAAGCTGAAAGCTTGAATATCAAGAGGTTGGTAGAATTGGTTCTCCCTGGAAGGTCTGAGGGAGAATGGGTACCACGCCTCCCTCTTGCCATCCCTGCCATCCCACAGCCTCCACCAGCATCTCACCAACCTCCATCAGTTTGTCCTCTATCTGGGTATGTCTGCCTCTCCCCCCCTCCCAAACACACACCCGTTCAGTTGCCCTTCCTTTGACAAGTTATATTGTACTTGAGAACATTCTAAGGACTTCCTTTTACGTAACTTGATCATTTGCAAAGGCCCTATTTCCAAATAAGGCCACATTCAAGGTCCTGGGATTTGAGCATCAATATCTCTTGGAGAAGACAACTCAACCCACAATTCTCCTCATGCCGGCTTGACCCTGGAGATCATCTTTTTGTCTTGCCATGGACGATCTTGCTGACATTGACACTTCCAGTATTTAGACTGGCCTAGCTCCTTCCATCTGCTCAACAAGCCGGTGAAAGCCTACATGACAAATTTTACTTAACTGCACATAAAACATAGGTGGGGGCCATGAATCCTACTTTAAAATCCAACCAGACTGACCCACTTAGTCTTCAAAGACCCAGCAGTGAAGTTTACTTACTGCACTTCAGCCCTCAAGAGGAAGGACATAAGATCAGGCTCCGGTGGCCCATGCCTGTAATCCTAGCTTCTCAGGAGGCTGAGGTCTGAGGATTTGGTTCAAAGCCAGCCTGGGCAGGAAAGTCTAGGAGACTCTTATCTGCCATTAACTGCCTCAAAGCCAGAAATGGAGCTGAGGCTCAAAGTGTTAGAGTGCTAGCCTTGAGTACAACAGTTGAGGAACAGTGCCCAAGCCCTGATCAAGTCCCATGACTGACCAAAACAAAGCAAAAAGGACAAAATCAGAAGTATCCTTCCCGGACAGAAAGTGGAAGCAAGCAGTCTGCCCCTTCCTGACTCAGCAGCTGGGCTGGGGTGTTTGGTGCAGGGTGCTTTTTCTCCATTAGGCAGCAATGAACTCCTTCTGATATCTCAGGGGATTGTCACAAGATTTGCCTCTTATCCTTTTAACGTCTAGGGATAGGCCTCCAGCTGGGATTTGTGTCATCCTTAATGTGGTGGCTTCTGGAGGAAGAGAGTAGGATGGTGGAGGCTCTCGGCTGCTCTGAGCCAAACCAACCTCAAGGGCATCCATAGCCCCAAAGTCACGTGATCAAAACAAACAGCAAGGGAATAGGATAGGATATTTGGGGTGTGCTAACTGCCTCATCTACAAAGGGTGTGCGCTCTTAGTTTTCCTGTCTCATAATAGATCCTCAAATGAGGGCAAGGAAAGACAGCTAGACAGGTAAGGGAGGATAAATCCAACAATGTCAGTATACCCTGGGACAGCCTGGAGGAGCTGTAGTGGAAGTCAGCACGATCTGCAATTGTGAGAGCCATCTTTCCAGAAGGCAGCTGTGTAAGAGAAGTCCGCTGCTGGATTTCTGAGCTCCATGGATGTTTGCAGGAATCTGGGGCTCCTATGCCCCCCCCAAAAAAGGGGTACAGAGATGTAGAAAGATGGTAGGCTGCAGAAGCCCAGAGTTGGGACAAAGAGGCTGCAGTGTGCACGGCATTTGGAGCCAGAAGCCAGTGGTCCAGACTCGAATTTGTAGAGGTGGCAGCAAAGCCAATGTCAGTGGTCTCCAGGGATAAGAGAGGGCTGTCCTGCGCACACTTGTGGCTTCTCCCACACCCAGAGAGATCACATGAGGAAAATGGACTCAGAACTGAAAGACTTCTCAGAAGATACAGAATCATTAGAAAGCCAAGCATTGGCGTTTCACACCTATAATTCTACCTTTCTACTTGGGTATGGTTGTTGTACCCCGAGTTCTGAGGAGCCTAAAATAGGATGATGAAAGTCTATGTGCAATGTTGGTCAGGAAATGAGATCCTATCATCTCAAGCAATACACAGAAGAGCTGGAAACATGGTTCAGGGGTAGAGCCTCTGTCTAGCAAGAGAGAAATCTGGAATGCAAATGCCAGTTCTGCAAAAAGGATTTTAAAAAAATGAAAACCTACTTACATGAGAAGCAAGTTGATAGCAAACACTGGCAAACCTAGGTGAGCTGATCCTTGTTTTTTCCAACACAGTGAAAGGACTCTGAGAAAAAGTGGATATATCACCGATGAAAGAAAAGAAGTTAAATTTTTCTGTGCCCTTCTAAGTAGAGCATAAATAAATTTGTAACATAGAGGAATTGAATTACTTCCCATGGGAAAGTCTATAGTTTGTTATAAGCATGCATACAATAATATCCAGTTTCCTTCAGATCTATCCCTAGGACAAAAAAAATCACTAGTGTTTCTAAGTTGTAGCCACACAGCCATGTTTCTTGACTTTTTATTGTATACAACTTCGTGAGGGAATAGCGTAGGTTGAGAGGAAGAGTTGACCAGGAGGGCACTGGGAAGGAAAAGGTGTTAGGTGAGGGAGGAATAACTTTCCCCAAAGGAAGTGAAGAAAGAAAGTCTGGAAGCAGAACAATTTCCAGCAGATGGGCTGTGGTAACAAGTTGGACTCTGGAATCTAAACCAGCCAAATAGGAGAGTTCAGCGCTCTGCATCTGCACACCCACTGTGTATAAAACACTAGATAAATGGCCCAGATATAATAAACAGGAGAGGTTTGGTTAGCAGAAAGTACATGAATGCATGGATTTGGTTTGGTAATGTATTTAAAGGCATTCAAGGATATGACTCAGCCGCTCAAGAAATAAACAAAAGAATACTAGACTATACCAATGTTGCGTTTCTCATAATGGGATTATGGAGACATATAATCCTATCTCAAACTGGAAATATCACTAAGTCAAAACATGTAGAAGGCATCTAACCTACTGAATTTCCAAACCAAGCAGCGCCAGAGGTGGGAGGTGGGGTATCAAAACAAGATTAGCCTCTTCAATACCCTGAAGAGTATTGGCCATTCCCCTTCAGATCCATAACTGGCTGGGAGATGTTGCTTTCATTATGGATTTGTCATCCCAGTCAGTTGAAAGACAAGAAATCAGGAGGATTTTATGGTTTGAAGCTAGCCTGGGTAAAAGTACCCCCATCTCAATAAATAAGGTGGGCATGTGTATATACACCTGTCATAGTAGCTACACAGGAGCCCATAAGTAAAAGGACCGTGAGCTGGAACAGCTTCCTCTCTAGTGCCCCAGCAAAAGCAGAAGCTCCTGTCTGAAAAATAACTAAAACAGCAAAAAAAAAAAAGTAAAGCCAAAGAAATAGGGCTTGGTTCAAGCAGTTAGAGCACCCTGAGTCCAAAACCCCATACCACTCAGAATTATTAAAACACAAAACAAAACTAGCAGTACCAAATTGTATTGTTGAGTGTATTACAAGCCAGAAACTTCATGTTGTCTGTATTAACAAAGGCAGAAAATGATGATTGTGACAGCTTATGTTTATGGAATCAAATATAATACTAATGATGGATGGAAGACTGCACAGATGTCTCCATTTCTCCACCCAATCCAAGACTAAGTTTATGCAGCATCTTGGAGAGTCAAAGCTGGAGTGATTCCCCCCCTTGCTCAGGGCATGACTCCCTTCCCTTGCCCACCTGACTTCTTCACGATCTGGTTATACCTGCCAGGATAACTTCCTAACTATATGCCTCCATTCAATCCTCACAGGCCCAGTGTGGGATTTCAGGAGAGAGAGCCCAGCCTAAGATCTTACCCTGTGGGGTGGCATCGATGGAACCATGGAAAAGGAGAGGTTTCATGCCAGCCATACCCAGGCAGTGGAAGGGCTGGGAATGAGTTCTTCCAAAAGCAATTAAAGGGCCATTGGCCACTTATCTTAAGAAGAGATGATTTGCAGAATATGATGCTCTGTAGGGGTCTGAGAGGGGACATTCAATGCATATTGATCTGGGGGCCCAATGCCACAGAGATACGGGGAAATCCGTACAGGGGATGACAGAGCCATCAACCCTGGGAAATGGAGTCAGGATGGGGGCAGTCTAAGTAGACTTGGGCCTTTCCAAGTGCAGATCAGTTCACTGATCTCAAGGTTTAAAAAGTGTGACTGCTTTGGAGATCAGATTGCTATTGAGACAGCAGGGCAAGTCCGCCTTTCTTCCTTCATCACTGCGGGTTCTCTCTTTCGGCCTGCTGGGTGAGTGCTGCTAATGAATCCGGTGTGTCCTGAGTATGTCTGAGGAGACTTGCTAGCTGCTTGCCACCCTGCAAAGTGTGAGTGAAGATCACAAAATAATCACTTTCCTTCCAAAAGAAGGGGAAGAAAGAGCTGGAGCTTAAAAGAGATAAAAGGAAAAGGCATCCAACCACATTAGCCACCAATATTCTTGACAATTATGAGAACACTGGCATGTGGGTCCTTTTTATAGTCATGGGAATTTCATATTTACTACACTTGGGTTAGTACCTAGGAAAGCCTGTAGTAGGACACGTTGTACTCATAAATTGATATGCTGAATTGATAGCCCTTTTTATAACTACTTAAATTTTATATTATAAAAAATTTAATGAAAGCAGGGCACCAGTGGCTCACTCCTATAATCCTAGCTACTCAGGAGCCTGAGATCTAAGGATCAAGGTTCACAGTCAGGCCAGGCAGGAAAGTCTATGAGACTCTTATCTCCAATAAACTACTCAGGAAAGGCTGGAAGTGGCACTGTGGCCAAAGTGTTAGAGTACTAGCCTGGAGCACAAACAGGCTCAGGGATAGCAGCCAGCCCTGAGTTCAAGCCCCAGGACCAGCAAAAATAATGAAGAAGAAGAGGAAGGAGGGGGTAGAGGAAGATTGCATATTTTTATATTATGAAATCAATAAATTGAAAAATTCATATTATACACAGGTATTAGAAAAATGCTTAATATTGAAATTGAATATTAACTAAATAGAAATTAAAATGTGCCAACTGGACTCATCATGGCATGGATTTGACCTGTTAAGAAAGTTTCTGTGTGACTCAAAGAATACTGGTTAAATTCACAGCAACTACTCACCTGATGTGAAATCCCAGGGTTCACTACTGGCATAAACATGCCACCTGGATCCTGGATCTTCCTTTTCCCTCACTCTGCATCCTGAGCATATTCAAGTTCATCCCCAGATTTGCTAACCTATGGTAGAAATACTGCTACCATGGCTCTAAGCATTGTCTTCCAATCAAAGGGCATCCAGTACCACATGTGATTATTATAATTGCATATAATTGTGTAATTATGATACTCATTATTGCCTAAAGCTGGTACCAGCCAGGATGTCCTTCAATGGACAGATGGAAAACTTAACTGTGGTATGTCCATATAATGGAAAACTTATTCAGTGATAAATAGGAATGAACTATCGAGTGACACAAAGACATGGAGGAGCTTTAAAAGTCTAGTATACAGGGAAAGAAAAAGCAAATAGACACTGGAGCACATGGGACCTTGGGGCTGGAAACATTCTCTGTAGAGTAATGAAATGATGGTGGAGGCATTGTGCATTTCTTAACTTTCATTGGATGCTTGGCGTAAAGAACGAACCAACTTTTGACTAGGAGTTTAACAATGGTACACAAAGAACACTAGTACAAAGAAATTACTGACTTGGATGGAAAAAAAAACTGCAAAAACTTTGGGAAAATTGGGTCCAAATGGGGTAATTTGAACAAATCAATTACAAAATAAAGAGAATTACCATGTAGATAGGTATTTCTGGCCAAGACGCTGGGTCAACTGGTATGAAAGGAAATCACTCTGATTTAAAATGTCCCTCTCAGGGTCACGTCTGGGATAGCTTGCTCTCCAGCTGGAGGCAAGATCTCAGGAGATTCTAGGAACTTTAGGAGGTAGGGTCTAGCCAAAGGAAGTAATTCCTTATGGACATGCTTTCGAAGGTTATACCTGGTTCTTTCCTTACCCTTTACTTTCTATCTACCCTGAGGTAAACAGCTCTTCCTCCAAGCTTTTTCTGCCACCATGCTGAGTCCACTGGTCTAGAAATGACAGGGCTGGCCTAGATGAACAGAACACGCTTTAACTACAAGCTCAAGTCCTTCCTCCCTAAAATTGGTCTCTTGGGTATTTTGGTCACATCTATGCAACAGCAACCAATACAGTCATTTTCCAGAATCGAGGAGAGTCCAAAGCCTTCAGACTCAAAAGATTCATCAAGAAGCAAAGTTTTAATTTACCTAAAAATCGTTCTCATGAAATTACTGGATTTCAGGATAAAACAGAGAACTATAAATCTTCCGAAACAAAACCAAATGAAGTTTTCCATGTGATCCTTTTTTTTCACTTTTAAAATTTATTTTAAAATAAGTTTTGAAAGTATGTGGTCTAAGATTTTTTTCTCTATCATGTGAAATGATAGAAAATGAGGGTAACTGTTCTCTAATTCACTGTTCTCTAATTGGAAAACATGTGACCCAGGAAAACTTATTTATCAACTTGGTAATTCTCTTTATTTTGTAATTGATTTGTTCACATTACCCCATTTTACTTATTTAACTTATTTAACTGGAAGATAATAAGAGATATTGGAAGATACTTTTTAAAAATTCCATCTACATATCCTAACTTTTAAAAACCATGCAATCCTAGTTACTGAGGTGGCTGAGACCTGAGGATCGCAGTTGGGAGCTATTCCAGACAGGTAAGTCCATGAGGCACTTATTTCCAATTAACCAACAAAGAGCTGTGTCTCAAGTGGTAGAGCATCAGATTTGAGTGAAAAACCTACAGGACAACACCCAGGCCCTGAATTTAAGCCACAGTACTGACACAACACAACACACACACACACACACACACACACACACACACACACAAAGCAAATATCAATAATCAAAGGATACATCAAAAAGAATTCAAGAATGGGTACATTTGTCTTACAGGAATGGTGAGAGAGCACTGAAACCAATAAAATAAAGAATTAAAACTAGCTTGTAAATATAAAACCATTCTAAAAACATAAGGCTTCCATAATAATGCACAATGATTTAATAATAATTATCTATACAGAACATCACAGAATGTAAGTACAAAACTCAGGGAAGATTTGCAGGCAAGATAAAATGAAGTGAAAACATTCGAAAGTCCATTTTTACAGGGGGAGACAATAACTACTGCTATTTGCAATGCAGATCTTAAGAGTAACTTAAAAAGAATGTAAAAAAAAAGTATTCTTTAGTAGAAATACAAACAGAATGTTCTATAGGGGAAAACAAAACACAAGGGAGAGCACAGAAGAAAATAAGAAGCAAGAATAAAATCAAACATGAATTGGTATAGGAAATAGACATGGACCAATCTCCCTTTACCTGTCAAGAAAAATACAGTCTAGCTGTGTACAAATAGTAGGATTCAGAATTAAACAAAACACCTGAAGCCATTAGATAAAAGATGATTAAAGAGAGGTCAAACACAAAGTGAAAGAAACCAGGGCCCCCAGACTTGTATCACCCACAGCAAAACAGAGGACAAAACACCTTACAGAAGACAATTCACTTACCATGAATGTACATCATAATGCTTAATTCCACAACAATGTAGAAGCTCATGAAAATAGGCACAAAATTCTACCAGGGGTTTTTAAGAGAAAACTAGAATAGGTGCTTAAGAGGTGCATTCCTGGGGTGAGGGAGTCCACATTGTAGAGACAGCAATGTGTCCCAAAATAATTCAGCACAGTCTCAAACTCTGTCAATATTCCCTCCCAAATATTGTCTCTGGAACTTGATATCATTATTCTAAAGTGTCTACAGAAGAAGAAAGTGGACGAGAAGAAGGTGGTAAGGCATAACGAAAGGATCCTGCAGCAGGTTTTTTTTTAAATAAGATTTTTATTGTGAAAATACTGTACAGAGGGGATACAATCACATGAGCAAGGTCATGAGTACATTTCTTATCAAGCGTTTTTGCCTCCTCCTTTGTTTTTCCCCTACCATCCCTTCCCTTCCAGCTCCACAACTACATTCCCCTCCCCCATCCCCACCCCAACCCCCTGCCTGAATTGCAAAGTTGGTTTTTCAACATGGCGTCTTGTACATCTCATTGTGCAATGGGTCAACCTGTATCCCTATTTAAGCAATTTGTTTTTTCCCTTCTGCTTTCCAAATTATACCAACATCAAATATAGTGAAAACAGGGGTTATAGCATGGGGGAAGGACAAAGCAACAAAAAAATCACGTGGTCCCTTAAAATACATTAGAAACAATAACAAGAAAGAAAAAACCACTTGTGTCCTTATCTTGAGGTTCATTTAGCTTAACATCATCTTATCTGACCTTTTCTTCTTGTCTCAGATATATACTAGTTATTGCAAATAAGGGAAACCATGGGACCTATGTTTCTTTGCACCTGGCTTACTTCACTTAATATAATTGTTTCCAAGTCTTTCCATTTCCTAACAAATGGGGCAATGTCATTCTTTCTGATGGAGGCATAGAATTCCACTGTGTATATATACCACATTTTCTTGATCCATTCATCTACTGAGGGACATCTGGGTTGGTTCCATATCTTAACTATGGTAAATAATGCCAGCAGCAGGTTTTATACAGTGTAGTAAATAATCAACATTTCTGTTATTATGCCCACCCTACCGGAGACTATCATATTTGCTTTTCCAACCAGCACCCTCCATCCTACCCCAGCCTACCCTAGACTTTTTCATGATTCATCAAGAAGAGAAGGAAGAAGCCAATAGATGGAGATTCCCACCTTTTCTGCCCATATTCCTTTTTTCTGTAACACAGAGGAAGATATCCTGTTCAGAATCCCATAGTACTTTCTCTCCCACAGATTTCTCTCTCTTTCTCCTCTTTCTTAGATTATTATCAGCAGTTTGGCAACAAAATTCCCCCAGTCCTATAGGCAATAAGACCTTCCTTAGGCACATTCCCAAAACCTTCTTTACTTTCTAATTTTCCAAATGTTTACTAAAATAGTATTCAACAGACTATGAAAAAGTAAAACATCTGAAACAACATGCACAAAAAATGGCTTTCTCTCATTGGAAAGCTTATACTCAAGGAAATAGAACTCATATAGAAAACAATTGACTAGGCTGGAGAAGTATGCAGTGGTAGAGCCTTGACTCTGCCCAAGGCTCTGGGTAAAATCCCCAGGGTGGGTAGAGTGATTTGGGGGAAGCTATACTGCAAAAGTAACTGCACCCACATCCCATGATTCCCATAGCTAACAAAGGAAGTATGATGAGCCTAGGATCCATAGATTCGTATTCATCTATTAAAATGCTATTGAACATCTGGTATGATTATGACGTTCTAGAGAAGGCAGGGAAGGTAAAAATTCAAAGTCCCTCGGAAAGTTCCTCAGCTAAGATTTTAAAGAGCTGTTTGGGAGTAAGGATGAAATTAGGCATCTGTTTATTATTTTATGTGGATAACCTTTTCCATCCAACAGAACTTGGCTCCTCCCCCCACCTCCCTCGCCTCCTTACTTTTCCATTTTCTGCAACATCTCAATGTACTTATTTTCTAGAAGGAACTCAAGTTCCCAAACACAGCCACAAGTGTTTGCTGGGCCCACTGGTTAAGAATGGTTAGTGGTTTGCAACATATAAATAGAAGAGACTATAACGTTTCAGCCAGTCTGACACCAGGAGGAAAATGATGAACAAATAATGAACATCCTGAATCTTTCATTAGTTCAAATCCACAGCCCTCAACTAGAGGCACACATGGCAGAGGGTTTTGCCTATGTCAGATGTGAGACATCCAAGAAGCTGTGTCTGAGGCTTCAGGGAGGATTTGGGCTTCTAACAAGGTGTCTTCCTGGGAAGGCCCCTACTCCTACTCCCCAAAGAATAGGAGGATCTGTTCTGCTAGAAGTAATGTTGGCAAACTAACAACCGTCTCCTCCCTGCATTTTCAGTTGTCTGTCCCTTAGATAACGTTTACTTTCCACCCCTGAAGCTGCAGACTGAAGAGATTTGCTTTATTTGATACCACAGAGCCTGTGGATAGGTCAACTTTTCTTTTGTTCTGCGTCTGTGACTCTGGTGTGCTCTGTCCGCCTAGCTGCAGGATCTGGGTACTGCAAGGCTGAGACAAAGTCTAATGGGAGGTAATTAGGTCATTGGAAGGCATGAATGCTGTTCTCATTCACTTTAATCTGACATTTTTATGCCCGTTGCTTAATCTAAACATCACAGAACTCCAAGATGATAAGGCGGGGAATTCATGTTCTTTTTCCCCCCACATTTTTATTAGCAGCAATTAGTTGTGCCAAAAGGGGATTCATTCTGACATGTCCATCTATGTATACAATGTACCTGTATCAGACTCACCCTTTCTATCCTTCTCCCTCTCTCCCTTTCCCCCACCCCATACTGTCATTTTGAATATGAGTCAAGAATTTAAGAAATTTCTTCAAGGCCATAGAGCTTGGGAAATACCAGGTTGGTGATAAAATGTGGAATGTCTGTCTTTAAATTGGCTGGTTTTCTTCTTTCATACCAAAAATCTGATCCATCCAATTACTTGGCAACTTATTACCAAGATCTATGTTAGGTCTTGTCTGAGCCCTGGGAGTCCAATACTGATTTTCCCTTATCCTTGAAAGTTTCAGAAGTCAGAAAACAAAATGCAAAAAGCAAATCGGTATAGAGAATATTACATGGCATTGACATGGCTAGGGAAGTAAAATTCTTTAGTGTTGGTCAGATTCTTTGAAAAAGATATGGGAGCCCAGTTTGAAATGACAAGAAACAGACAAGCATGTGAAGATGTGAATAAATAATAATCCAGGCAGAGAGAACAGCAAATCAAAAGGCTCTGGGAAAGGGAAGTTAGCTTGTTACTGGGACAATACTAGAGTATAAGTATATAGTGGGTCAACAGGGTGCTGGTGGCTCATACCTGTAATCCTAGCTACTGAGGAGGCTGAGATCTGAGGATCATGGTTCAAAGCCAGCCTGGGCAGGAAAGTCCGGTGCTGTGGTTCAAAGTGGTAGAGCACTGGGACAGTGCCCAGGCCAAGTTCAAGCCTCAGGACTGGGGGGGAAAAGAGTATAGCAGATGATAGCTGAGTGAGTTATCTCATGTCTGTCATCTTAGCTACTCAGGAGGCTGAGATCTTGGTCATCTGAAGCCAGTTTAGGCAGAAAAGCTCACAAGATTCCATCCCTTCTCACACCCAAAAAAAGAAATCCTAGCAAGAAGCCAGGCTGAAGTGACAGAGTGCTAATCATACAAGCATGAGGGTCCTGAGTTCAAACCCCAGTACCAGTAAATTTGAAAAAATAAAATAAAATAAAAAGGAATAGGATGTGATGCTTTTTTTTTTTTAAAGGAAGCTGAAAATGTAAGCAAGTTCTGACAGGTTAGGACAAGATTTGGGGGTCTTATTCCAAGTGCACTGGGAAACCACTGAAGGATTTTAGGCTGGAATTACTATCTGATCAACCATTTTTAAAGAACAATTTGTTAGAACAACAGTGGGAACACAAAGACCAGTTAGGAGGATACCTCAGTGAACTGGAAAAGGGATGTGGTACTTGGACTAGGTTGGAAGTCCTGAGATTTGGAAGAAATGAATTGATTTGGGATGCATTTTAAAAGTAGAGCGAAATACAATTAGCTTTGCAAATAAATAAATAAGTAGCCAAGTGCTGATGACTCACATCTAATATCCTAGTTACTCAGGGGAGTGAGATCTTAGAATCTCAGTTCAAAGCCAACCTGGGCAGAAAAATTTGAAAGCCTCTCATCTCTAATTAACCAACTAAGAGCAATGCATGGAGCTGTGATGCAGGTGGTAGAGCACTAGTCTTGAGCCAAAAACTCTAAGCAAGAGTATGAGGCTCTGAGTTAAAACTCAAGTATAGGTAAACAAATACACACACACACACACACACACATACATATGCACATATATTCATACACAAATGGCATTGGACAAGCTGTTTGTTATCCACTAATCCACCTATTTATTTAGCTACTTATTAAACACCTACTGGAACCTGTATTAGGTACTGTGCAGTATTAAAACTAAAAGGAGATGGGATCTAAGGCCCTGGGACTCCTGCAGGCTAGTGAGAAGTGCAGACAGCTGGTCCACTGAGGTAGATACAGAGTTGTAGCAAGGGTCTTAGCGGAGGAAGGACTACCAAACTGGTTTTGGGAGTGCTACGATCCTGTTGGACTTCACTCCCCATTGGTCCTCCAGCTGCAGGCTTGGTCCTTAGAGTTGCAATGTGGAGGTGGGTTCTACAAGAAGGTAATTAGGCCATTGAGGGCACTGTTCTTGGAAGAGATGAATGCCGCACTTGTGGGGTGAATTAGCTCTCACTGGAGTGGTTTGTTCCAAAATAATGCCACTCCTCAGACTTGGTCCCTTTGGCCTGTGGGATTTCCCTATTTCTCCACCATTTCATGATTCATCCAAAGAGGCCCTTGTCTGAAACTGAAGGAAATTTTCTGCTTGATCTTGAAATTTCAACCTCCAGAATATTGACCTAAGTAAAACTCTTTTCTTGGGTTAGGTGCTGGTGGCTCACGCCTGTAATCCTAGCTGCTTAGGAGGCTGAGATTCAAGGATTGAAGTTCAAAGCCAGCCTGGGAAGGAGAGTCCATGTGACTCTTATCTCCAATGAACCACCAGAAAACTGGAAGTGGTCAATGTGTTCAAGCACTAGCCTTGAGCAAAAGAGCTTAGGGATAGTGCCCAGGACCTGAGTTCAAGACATATGACTGACAAAAAAAATAATTAATAAAACAGAAGAAGAGAGAAAAAAAACCTTCTTTTCTTTATATATCACAGAGCCTCTGGAATTTTGTGGTAGCAACAGAAAACAGGTATCTCTACTGAGTCTGCAAAGGTAAGCGGGAGGGGGTGAGTAAAACAGACCTCTGTACAGGAGCAATGTGAACAGAGTCCAAATGGTGACACTGGAGAACAGCTGGTTGGCATTGCTGGATCAGATGCAGGAGGGACTGAGGTGAAGCTGGAGGATCAACCAAGAAGCAGACAATGCAACCTTTGGCCTTTGGAAGACTAAGGGAAAGCAATAAGAATCTGGCCAGGACAGAGAAATAAGCTGTGTTTTAAAACCATCCGTAGGCCTGAGCAGAGTAGCCTGCAGTGATCTGAAATGATGTTCAAGCTAGAGAAAAGGGTGTATATGGATTGGTGGGAAAAGCAACTATGGAAAGATATATAGCAAACTGGTAACATTAGTGAGCTCAAAGATGTGGAAAGAGGAGAAAGATATCATTATCATCATCACCAACACCACCATCATCACCACTACCATCAGAAGCACCACCACCACCATCATCGTCATCAGCACCATCATCATCATCATCATCATCATCATCACCATCATCATCATCATCATCATTATTTTGTCAATCATGAGATTTGAAGTCAGGGCTCCATACTTGCTAGAAAGGTGTTCCACCACTGAGCAACACCTCCAGCTCTACTTTTTGCTGGATGTTTTTGAGGTCAGGTCTTATTATCTGCCCAGGCACACACTATCTATTTTTTGCTTCAAATGTAGCATGACAGTGGCGTGCCAGCACACCCAGCTTCCTCCCCTGAGATGGATTCTGGTGAGCTGTTCAGCCCAGGCTGGTCCAGAACAGAGACTCACCAAATGGCAGCCCTCCCAGGAAGCTGAAGTGACAGGCTTGGGTTATTGCATCCAGGGACAGGTTGAAATGGAGCCTCTCAAACTTTTCTGCCAAGGCCGATCTCTGAACCACAATCCTCCTATTCTCAGCCTCCCAAACTGGTACCAGCCCTCTTCCCTTCATTCTAGAAGCTCTGCTTAGTCTTCCTCTTTTCAAATCATTTTCATCTCCCAGGACAGCCAACCAAAGCTAGGTCCTGAAAAATACACACACGGGTTTAGATTGTGATACAATACACATAGCTTAAGATTTTCCATCTGAGCTGTTTTCAAGGGGGCAACTCAGGAGTGGTCATCACATGTGTATTGTTTTACAATCATCACCACCATTTATGTCCAGAATTCCTTCATTTCCCCCAATCACTCTCCCAGGCCCCGACAACCATACCCTGCTTCCGGTCTCTCCCAATCCAGGCACCTGGTTTGTGTGTGGGATCATGATGTCCTCCTCTGCAATGGATCACATCCAGGGTGCTGCTCTCAGAAGATGGCGGTCTGTGAGGGAGGTCCTAGCTGTCTTCACGTGTTTCAGCCGGCTCCACCATGTGCTTCTCAGCACACACTCTGCCATTCAGTGGCTCATGGGTCTCTGCCACTGCTTTTGTTCATAGCACATCATCCTTAAGAGCCATCTGTGCTGTAGCGCATGTCAGACTTCCCTTCCCTTTTAAGACTGAGTAATATTCCATTGTGCACCTAGCTTCGACATCGTTCATCCACATTTTAAAGCAGGGCCCTGACTTCCAGCACTTGGCAGGTGCAAAGGAAGACAAGCTCAGAGCCAGCATGTTTGGTAACATTCTGCAGGAGATGGAGGAAAGGCTGCCCCATCATCCTCCCTCAAGTTCAAGGTCCTACCTACATTTTTTTTTGTTCCTCTGAGGAGACTTAAGTCCCCTAGATGACAGCACTCTGTAAGCAAGAGCCCTTTGTGTGCATGCATCCCAGCCCTCAGATGCACAGGCTCCAGCCTGTAGCAAGCTGAGACCAGTGGAGCTGGGCTGTCCACAGGGTGCCCTACCCCAAGCCCATAAACAACACCCCACGCAGGGGAGTACAGATTCCAGGCTGCCTCTGCTGCTCGCTTACAGCCTGAGAAGCTCAGAACTTTGGGAAGAATCAGCCCTATTGTTCCAAGAAGGCTTTGATGGTGATGACAAGACAATGCAGGTACACGAGTGCCAACTTGAACCAATTAGCAATGTGCAAATGACCTGAGCAATGGGAATAAGTGATGTCTGCCCGTGTCATACCTTCTGGATTCTAAATTGTCCTGAACAGACTCCCTTGGAATGTTTGCCAGGGAGTGTCATTAATTTCTAACCGGTCTGTTATTGTTTTGGTTGAAGGCATTTTCTCATTCCATAAAGGGCCAAGAAAGAACAGCAGAAACAAAACATCCATGTACACATGCATGTGCGCATACACACAACACACTATGGCTTTGGTTTGAGTGTTTGGAGCCAATCAAATATGAAATCTTACCTCTGATGCCTCAGGAACGGAAATGAGAATGCTAATCTGATGTGCATTTTTTTCCAATCCTTCTGAGCACCTCATTTAAGAATCCAGATTGGCACTTACTTATGCCTCTGACACAGGCAAAAGGATCTTCGCCCTGACCCAACATACAAGATC